GGAAGTACATAAACTATATCATTGACTCGCGTAAAGACGACAGTTATTAGGATCGGTAGATATTCACTGTTAAATCTGGTAGGATTATTAGCCTCACCTTTGATACATTCAGTAGTTAGGATTAACCTCTTTAACTTCAGATTTGATAGCTTACTAGCATTGTAACTTTCACTGTTTTGCACAAAGGAAGTGTTTCTCTCTTTCTCTATTTCTCATTCCCTCTGTCACTCACCCTTGGGGGAAAGCTTTTAGTTTTTAGCAGTATGGGTCAGAAAGGAAGAATCTTTCCATTCTTTTGATAGGATCAGTTCACATCTGATGGGACCTTTCAGAAAACTCTTTCGTATAACTATTTCGATTTTAGTTTTCTATTTTTGAAAATTATGCTTGTTTATTTAGTATGTTTTCATGTTTCTTAAAACTATTGGCTAAATTTTAAGAACACAAACAAGTTTTGAAAACACTGTTTTTAGTCTTCAAATGTTGGCGTAGATTTTTAAAATATTTTAAAAACAACAAATGCAAACAAAGAAATACATGGTGAAACTTAAAAATAGTGTTTACAAGTTTTTTTTTTTTTTCAAAAATAGAAAGTCAAAATCAAAATGGTTATCGAACGAAGCCTCTAAAATCCATAGATAGAGAGGCTAACTTTTAGTACTCATGGTGACGAATGATTTTTAGCTCTCTTTTGTCTCTTGAAAGAAGGATTGGATTTGAATAGATCGATGTTCAAGATGGTTCTGACACAGTATTCAAGCTTGTAGGTTGGTTCTCGATAAATGCTTACGAAGCGATAGTGAATTTGTGGTGGAGTCATTTCTTTGAGCTACCATCATATTCGATTGTGATTCTAGTCAAACTATTAAGAAGTATCCACTTAGGTAGTATAATTTCTTCTTATCTATAAACACGAGACACTATGGTCGAGTTAAATAAGCTCAGATCGTGATCGTTTTAATTTAGGTGTGCATGACAGGAAAAGTAGTAGAGTTTGAAGACTTGTTTTTGAACTTGCTTTTCAAGGTGAAAAGCTTTGTGTACTTTTTGCATATTTTTTGTGGTATTTCCAAAAGTTGGATTTTAATTAAGTTTGAGATGACTCAATTTGGCCTATGTGTTTCATTTTTCATCACATGTTAAGTAATGATTTTGTTTTTAAAAATGGTTTATTCTTAATTAATTTTCTTTAGTATAAACAATTCTCTCGAGGTCTACTAAAGGCTAGCCTTTGGACCATCCAATAATATATAATAGTGCTATAAAGGCAAAATTGGAACTTCCAAAATAAGGGTTCTCCTTTCTCTCCTCCCCCATCCGCAGGGTTCAGTATCCATCTCCGCAGATATTTCCAGATCGTGAGACATAATATTCTCTGCGACACTGGAATCGATTTCTGCCATTTCCGGAAAGTGAACGGACAGCCGCCCTTCCCCCTTCTCACAATGTTCCCGAACTTGCTAAACAATCAAAGTGTGAATGGCACTTCGAAGTGCCTCACGTTTGGGGTCGGCGTGGGGAACTTCCACCGGTTCTGGAGCCAGCGGGTTCTGAATGACCTCCCTCTTACGGTTAAAAGGGATTTTGGAATTTTTAATTGCACATATATTAAAAGTATAATGTTTTTTTATCCATGTTATATATTTATGCTATACAAACTTCAGTGTATTACAAAAATTTAGTGTCTGCTTACTCCAAGGGAATTAGAATGAGAGAATAAAAATTGTTCATTCTGTTTCACTAATTTTGTCAAAGAAATGGAGAATGGTTCTAGATTTGTTAGGTCCACACCAAAATTAAGAAATATTCAAATATTCTCATTAATTGTTTCTTTTTTATGAATAGCGAGGAATGTCATTCTTATTCTCTTGTTTCAATGAATCCCATTACACTTTTTAGTTAAAAAATATTTGGTCACTGTACTATCGCTAAAGTTAGTCCTTATTGTGAAAAATATTGTTAAAATTTAATTGGGAATCTTATATACGTAGATCCATCAACTATAATGAAGAATCAAATATGTTTGTAAATTAATACTAAATTGTTATATAATAAATAATAATGGATTGGTTAACTGAACCAGAAGAGCCAAAGAAATGAGTTCAAGACATATAGTGACCACCTACTAGGATTTAATATGTTACATGTTTCCTTGGTAACCAATGTAGTAGGGTCAAGCGATTGTCCCGTGAGATTAGTCGAGATACGTGTAAACTAGTCTGGACACTAACGGATATCGAAAAAAAAATGAATTGTTATATAATAAAAATTGAGGCGTAATTTTGATGAAGTATTTTTACGTTAGGGACTAAATTGTTACAAATTTTGATACTATCTTATTTTCATCCCCATAAAGCAAACAAGTCTCATGAAGGTATAGAAAAACACTATTTAGTTTCCTATTTTTTCTATGAAAGTAAGAAGGAAGAAAAGAATTATGAGAAATTGTGGTGGGGAGAATGAAAAACTCTTTGACTTATATAGTCCAAATCTTTCTCTAAATGTGCAAGTAATCTTTCAAAGATCCAACTGATATGAATTTGTTTCCCTAAAGAGAATACACCAAATGCCCAAACAGAACTTTAATCTCAATTATTCTCCCTGTGGTTGTGTTGGCAAAACATGATCTGATAAACCAAAAGGCAGCTGATATAACTTAGTGGCAGCTAGCAGACAACCAAAAAATTAGCACCTGATTGGAATCTCCAAACAGTGTGATTTGGGAGTAAATTAATTTGAGATAATGAGAACTTTTCATCTCCCAAAAAGAATAAAAAGTAGCAAACAACTCTAACTTTTTGACCCAACTCTTATTTTGCAAAAAACAGCATACCCAATTATGTACATTATGGAAAGTAAGCTATATACCATTAAATTTACTCTAATATATCAATTTAAGTTTTTTAGTTGATTGATGATTTAACATGGTGTCATCTACCAGCACTTCACCATCTCCTCTTATCAAAATAAGTTTCCACATCTGGCAACTTTAGCTCTAACTGAAGGATAGAAATCGATCTCGCAACACGCCCGTATAAAAAGATATATGTTTTTCACCACCAAAAAGGTCATGCAATGGTGCTTGAGTCCTAGAGCCATCAAAGTCTTTCTGACTTGGCCACAAAGGGGAAGTTCACATAGCTTTCTCTCCAAGTTTGAAGGGAGACGGTTTCTTCGGATGGAACTCCCGATTGAGGAGTTACTTTGAGGTATTGTCTTCTCGTTTAATAATCATAACCTATTAGTTTAAGCTTTGGATTAATGGGTAATTTAATACGAAAAAGGAAATCAATCACGTGGTCGATCATAAAGCTAATCCATTTTGTTTGAGTCAAAGATTTGCCTCATTAGCTTTATTCAACTTCATAGATTCTACAAATATAGTATCTTTATATTTTAGCAAAATGTTACTTGTAATGCTAAGTGACTCAAAACATACTTAACAAACTCAATCATTCATCACAAAGAAGTTTTCTGTTGCATTTCTTTTCCTTTCTTTTTTTTTTTTTGTAAAAGTATGTTTGCAACTTTGCATAATTTTATTTATATAAAACTTATTTAATTTTCTTATTTGTTCTTATGGTTAAAATAACAGTTCTCTCCAAACCTCAAAACATTTACTTGTTCTTACTTTTACAACAAAGTCCTTCTCTTCATTAAGGGTGTCAATGAGGCGGGAGGGGGACGGCCATCCCTATCCCCGCTTCTCAAATCATTCATCATATCCCTTTCCTCGTCCCCATCTCCATCTCCATTTAAGATAGAGAATCCCCACTCTACTAGACACGTCTTTGCATCTACATTTCTAACATATGTGAGACTATGTTTGCCTCTCCAATGCTTACGGGTGAACTTTCTTTTAAGAAGACAATAACGGGTGAGTAGCAATCCTTGAGAATGCACAATAACGTTGTTTTATCTAGAAATTGAGATCAGTTTGTTAGAAAAACAGTTTCTCCATGGCTTCAAGATAGAACATGATATCTTCTTTCAATGTAATAAGTTTGAAGAACTAAAGAAGTTAGCTCTCTATTTTCACCATTACAAAAAATTGATCTTCATTGAGCATGCATACACATTATGCTCTCATCTCATCCAATGGATCTGCCAAACCAAAAAAACAAACAAACTGACAGACAAATCAGCAAGCAGCACCTCAGCTAGCCGTAACTAAGCAAGTGGTGAGTGAAAAATCAAAGCATCTTTCTGTATTTATTCATGAGTGGCAACTCTTCTCCATTCTTGTTTATGGAAAAGAAAAAAGAGAGAGAAAGAGAGAGGGAAATGTACAGTAAATTAAAGTAGAAAGAAATGAAAGGATAGTAGCAGTGAGTCAGCCAATCAGGTCATGAAAGCTGGAGGAATGTCATTTCAGACTTGGAGAGACAGAGCTATATGACCTCTACTAATACGGGCTAGAGCCTTAGCCTTGTCAAATCTCTCCATCAACTGTTCTTTCAGCCACACTTCTCAAAAACTTTCTCCCTTTTCTTTTTTCTTTTCTTTCATATTATCTCAACAACATCAAATTTCTTGTTATAAGGTCTGAATTTTTATAACCTGCATTTAAACTACACTTCAGAAACTTGTATCCCTACCTCAGGTGAGATGGAAGTTTCTTAAGTCTGAATTTGTTTGGAAAATCTATAGGTTTCAACGGTACTTCAAATTTACTCTCTACAGGCTAACTCGCTCTTACTGTGTCATGCTAATCTTAGATTTCATAAATCTACATCACAAGCACATGTTTCTCAAACTTGGGATTCTTAAACTCTACCGCTAAAATTGTAAGCTTAAGATGTCAAACGTGCACTAAACGCTTCCTAAAAGTTAGTATATAGTATTAAATATGAAGAGAAAGTGAGTTTGATAAGAGTAAGAATACATAACGAAGGTCTATATAGTTTGTTGAATAACAGACTTATAGATTATAAAAAGCAAACTCTAGTGTCAAATATAGGTTCTACTTTTTAACCATAAGATTAGATAGAGATATGCAAGCCTAAAAACACCTCTTGTTTAGTTCAGAATGAGTATCATGACAGAAAAAGAATCCCCCCTTGAATTTGGCTGGCTGCTAACAATATTTCTTAGTATCATCATTATTATATCAGTATCTTTTCTCTTTTATAACCTAAACTTTCCCCTCACTTTGCAGCCATGTCCCTAGTCTCTCTCTAGAGGTTTGAAGTTAACTGAGAGAGAGAGAGAGAGAGAGAGAGTTGCTGAGTTCAATCTTCCAAGCTTTGGAGTTTTTGAGGAAATGGAAGAGTTTTACAGACTCAACAACCCTTTAATATCCTCGTTTCCAAATGGTGAAGCCATTGATGGAGCCATGATGGTGGATGATGATATGCTTCAGCTTGAATCGGAGGCCACCACTGGCTTGAACATGTCTGATATGATCAAGACTCAGATTGTTAATCACCCCCTTTATCCAAAACTGGTTTCTGCTTACATTGAGTGCCAAAAAGTTTGTAAATTTCTTCTGCCTTTCTGGTTATGTAACATCTTTTTTAGCTATTTTTTGATGTTCTTTTAGCAGAGTTTGAGGTTGTTCATGTTTTTGTGTGCTTCACAAAAAGGTTGGAGCTCCACCACAAGTGGCTTCTCTTCTTGAAGAAATTGGCCGTGAAAACCACCCCCCAAGGTCTTGTATTGAGCTGGGAGCTGATCCTCAACTGGACAACTTTATGGTATTTTTTCTGTTCTTCCTGTTCTAATCTTCTTGGTTCTCTAGATACAAGATAAAATTTTCTTCAGGTCGATGAGTGGTTAATTATATTTCGTTTTAGCCTCTAAACTTAGATGGTCTGGTTTCGGTCCCCTTACAGTTGACTTCACTTGAGATCCGTAGTTTCTTATGAACAACTTAACCGTCAAAGACTAATAGCAGTGAAAACCGCGTCAAAGATTCGAATTATTGCACTCTCAATTGTCTGCTAGTATTGAGGATAATGGAACTCTTTTTACTTCTCAAATGGTGGATGAGAACTGAACTTGTTTAAGTTTGTAGAAGATCATGATAGTTGATAGATTGGTAAACATTACCAAGTAGAGTGTCAGCAATAGAAGAAAAGAAAACAACTTCTTATGTGAATCTCCTGCTGTTTTTGCTTGCTTTTTTTGCTTGTTTTCTATTTACTACAAAAGAGTGCTGAAAAATGGTAACTTTTTTCTTCTAAAGGAGTCATACTGTGAGGTTCTTCATCAATATAAGAATGAGCTATCCAAGCCATTTGATGAAGCAACAATGTTCTTGACCAACATTGAATTGGAGCTAAGCAACCTGTGTAAAGGATCGTTCAGCACGCCGTCCGATTCTCACTCCGCTATGAATGGTACTTTCTTCTTCTTTTCATTAATAACTTCACTTCAGTGATTTTTCGTCCTAATCCCGACGAGCTTTCGTCAAGAACTCCCATCGATATAGTATTGATTCCTAGAACAATTTTTGGGAGATGTAATGGAGTGGTTAAGGGGGTGGTATCATTATCAATTTTACAATGGCAAATCTTGTATGTATTCCGAAGAAAAGAAATTCATTTTTCGGGATTCCATCTCGGGTGTGGGAACATATAGAATTTGTTATGGAAAAGGAAAAGGGATGAAGTGTGTGTTGAGTGATATCATTCCCGTGAACAAGAAGTGCTCTAGCAACCAAGTAAAAGGTCTGATAAGAGCAACTAGAGTTTCAACTTCCTAGTTAGTTAATTTGAATCGAGATATCGATAATTTGAATCAAAGTAGCATCGATATCCTTTTCGGGTAATACCGAGAACACCTCAGAAGCACAAGCAAGCCATGGCATAAAATTTGATTTGTTACTTGTTCCTCAAGCTTTGACACCATTATTTGTGAACATTTTGATGCAAAACGAAGTGCCAAGAGCAACTAGAGTTTCTAGTTTGTTAAAAAACGAGACATCTATAACTTGAATCGAAGTAGCATCAATATCCTTTTCAAGCAAGTACCGAGAACACATAGGAAGCTGAAGCAAGCCATAGCAGAAAATTTTGATTTGCTATTAGTTCCTCAAGCTTTGACGCCATCATGTGTTTGCAGATGAAGTAGCTGAGATTTCGGAGGAAGAACCAAGCAGCTACGGGGAGGTGGAAATGCCGGGAAATCCCGAGTCGTTCTGCACGCGGCAAACAAACCAAGACCTCAAAGAAATGCTGCTGAAGAAGTACAGTGGCTACCTCAGCAGTTTGAAGAAGGAATTCTTAAAGAAGAGGAAGAAGGAGAAGCTGCCAAAGGATGCAAGAATGGCTCTATTTGACTGGTGGAACACTCATTATAAATGGCCTTATCCTACAGTAATTTCAATCTCTTCTCATTCCAAAGCAATGCACATTCTACATATAATCAAACTTGTTCTGTTTTCTTACTTTTTTTTTTTTCATTGGTTTGACAGGAAGAGGAGAAATCAAAACTATCTGATATCACTGGTTTGGACCAAAAGCAGATCAACAACTGGTTCATAAACCAGAGAAAGCGCCACTGGAAGCCGCCCGAAGATATGCGATTTGCGCTCATGGACGGGGTGGGGACTGGGGCCGGGGAATGCATCAAAGGATCAAATTTGAATGACAATGGAGAAACTGGAGGGCATGTAGTTTGATATGATATGATTATGATATGGATTTCTTGTCTAGTTTCACAAATGGTGGCCTAGCTATCTTCTACTTTCTAGTTCTTCTTCTGTATATCATTTTTTTTCTAATCTTTTGAGTTTCTTTCTGACTTGACCAAAAAGAAAACACATAAATATATAGAAATCACTTTTGCTATGTGCAATGACATGACATCTCAAGGCTTCTCATTGCTTGGCAACAAGCATGGTTAATGAATTATTTAACATATTGCTTCTTTGAGTGAATGTCTTTATATAAACATAAAGATGTTTTTTTTTGCAAAGGGTGTGGATAGAGCTCTTCCATTTGTACTCTATATTTTTCTATAGTGATTCTATAAGAGGGCCAATTAGAGTTAATTGTAGTAACGATGGAAACTTTTCCTCAAAATGACTTGACTCTTTCGTTGAGGTTGACTACTGCTTTTGTTTTAGTTGAGTCTATATTTGTGCTTTGTCGATTCACCAAACAACTAAGAAATTTTCTTGATGTTACTTAGAAGGTGCACGATTCTATTACTTAGGGGTTCATCTTCCTAGCAGTAGTTGTATATCGAGTGTAACAAATCTTCGATTAAGAAAACGATTTCAAAAGTTAATACAAGTTTAATTGGCGGTGAAAGCATCTTGTTCCTTAAGGTCAGATATTCAATTCCTTATTTTCACATATATTGTACTAGAAAAAGTAAACGATTTAAAAAAAAAACACTAAAATCTTAAATCTTAGACCTAAATTGTAATAGTGAGTAATTAATTATTTTAATGGTGAGCTCAATCTAAATAATTTAAAAGAAAAATTAAAAATTTTAAGGGCTTTTTGAAATTACTATTAATATAGTGAATTTGAAATGAATTACTTTTTTATTTTTTAAAGAAAAATGGGGTCATTTTTTAGAACGTACGAGAGAACCAGAACGACAAGACAGTGAAGCTGAAGCCGCCCATCAGCGCCGCCGCCGGTTGCATTTTCAACCACCGATTCTGCTGAATCAACACTCTCCCACTTCACTGAATCTCCGTCCAACTCCTCCGTTCGATTCATGGCAATCCAATGTCTCTCTCTCTAACTCTCCGTCGAGCTTCAAATTTCTCTGCCTTTCTCCGCTCCCAACTCAAATCTCCGGGGTACACAGCCAGAATCTCCAATGCCGGCTCCTCCGCCATCCACGGCTGCCGGATTCGACGATCGTTGGGACGAGAAGGAAGAAGTTTCGGAAGGCAAATGCGCGTTCCTCGTTGTAGCTCTCTGCCCTTGTCTCGTATGTTTGATTCTCATCCTCCTGGTTGTTTTAATTCTTCTCATTGCCAAATTCCATCTGTTCTGCCACACGCCTCTTCATTCTCTGTTCCTCAAGAATCGATGTTGATCGTTCCAAAATCGAGAACGATTAATTCCAGAAATCCCCCCTTCCCTAATTTTGATTTACTTGCTAGAGGCTTTTGCCATCTGAATAACGAGGATTCTGATTGTTATTCTGATTCTGAAATTGAATGTGGGAAGAGTGAGGATGATGATCGTGAGTGTGGTTCGAGGGTGGATTCAACCGAAGTCGATCGCGTATGCAAGGTGATCGACGAATTGTTTGCGTTAGATAGGAACATGGAGGCGGTTCTTGATGAATCTAGTTTCAAATTGTCCCACGATCTGGTTTTGGAAGTTTTAGGACGATTCAAACAAGCTCGAAAACCGGCATTTCGATTCTTCTGTTGGGCAGCTCAGAAGCCAGGATTTGCCCATGACTCCACAACTTACAATGTGATGATGACAATTTTGGGGAAGACAAAACAGTTTGAAACCATGGTGTCATTGCTTGAAGAAATGGCTGAAAAAGAGCTTTTGACAATGGAAACTTTCACCATTTGTTTCAAAGCATTTGCAGCTGCAAAAGAGAGGAAGAAAGCTGTGGGGATTTTTGAGTTGATGAAGAAGTACAAGTATAAAGTGGGTGTGGAAACTATAAACTGTTTGCTTGATAGTTTAGGGAGGGAAAAGCTTGGGAAAGAAGCCCAAACACTTTTCGAGAAGTTACGCGGTAGGTTTACGCCGAATTTGAAAACGTACACGGTTTTGTTGAACGGTTGGTGTCGGGTTAGGAATCTAATGGAGGCTGGGAAGATATGGAACCTGATGATTGATGAAGGTTTCAAGCCTGATATTGTTGCTCACAATACCATGCTTGAAGGTTTGTTGAGGTGTAAGAAGAGGTCTGATGCAATCAAGTTGTTTGAGGTTATGAAAGCCAAGGGCCCATCTCCTGATGTCAAGAGCTACACGATTTTGATTCGGGATTTCTGCAAACAAGCCAAGATGAAAGAAGCAATCGAGTATTTCGACGAAATGCAGGGAGCGGGATGTCGAGCAGATGCTGGAATCTACACATGTTTGATCACAGGTTTTGGGAATCAGAAGAGGATGGACATGGTATATGGGCTGCTGAAGGAGATGAAAACGAACAGTTGCCCGCCTGACGGGAAGTCCTACAATGCGCTGATTAAGTTGATGACGAGCAGGCGAATGCCAGACGATGCCGTTCGTATATACAAGAAGATGGTTGAGAGCAGCATTGAACCAACAATCCACACATATAACATGATGATGAAGTCCTACTTTCAGACAAGGAATTATGAAATGGGAGCTGCCATTTGGGAGGAGATGAAACAAAAGGGGTGCTGCCCCGACGATAACTCGTATACCGTGTTTATCGGAGGGCTGATAAGTCAGGGACGATGCGGGGAGGCGGGTAAGTATCTAGAGGAAATGATTGAGAAAGGAATGAAGGCTCCTCAGCTTGATTACAACAAATTTGCTGCTGATTTCTCCAGAGTTGGGAGGCCTGACATTCTTGAAGAATTGGCTCAGAAGATGAAGTTCTCTGGTAAATTTGAAGCCTCCAATGTGATTGCAAGATGGGCTGAGATGATGAGGAAGAGAGTCAAGAGAAGAAATCCTACAAACATTAATGGTGGCCATGACCATTGGCCATATAGCACCTGATTGTTAAATTATTTTGTGTCTTTTAATGGCAGATTGTAAAGTTTTTAAGAATTAGAACATTGGTTCTTTCACATCATTTTTGATATTAGGTTTTGTTTCCCTCTGTTCCAGGTTTTGGAAATTTGTATATGGGTTGTAGGTTTAAGAAGCCCGAGTTTAGAAAAACTATGTCGGAGTAGATTTGGTGTAACATTAAAATCTATTGGTCTGTCAAACAAACTCAGACTTGACAAATCTCGGGAATAAATTCGATTAATGTTTAGCTCATCTAGAAATTCCATTGATCACCTATTTTGGTTTCATGCTTTAGGCTTTACTCTTCCCATTTTTTGACTAAATATTGGAAACTTCCTAGTGATCATTGAAAAGATTAAAAGTTCTAAATTGACAATCATATATTTCTTTTAATAAATTAAGTGTCATACTAGAAAAAAGTGTAAAATATCAGATATTATTGGATGAGGAGAACGAAAATTCATTTGATCGTCGTAATAAAAAATGAATATGTTGATTATAACCATAATTTTCATAATGTTCCAATCATTTATATCATAAAAATTTACATCGAATATATTTATTTAGTTGAATAAAGTTGAATAACAAGTATATGTGAAATACAAATAGTAAATACTATTAAATAGAAAATATATTGATTTTAACCAAACCTTTTGGTGTTGCTAAACTTTTTTTACTAAAAAAAACTAATATATATAGTCTCTAATTTTAGATAATAACAATTAAGACTATATATGAAGTGGAATGCGCAAAAAAGTAATAACAATAAAAACAAAATATAATAATAATAGTAATGGCTAGAAAATGCAATGATTAAAAAAATACTCCAAGTGAAAAGAATAGAAGAAGACATCTTTGAAAAATAAAGATAAATTAAAAATCAAATACGAAAGAATTGTATTATTTATTTAATATCATACATCAATATAATTTAGAGTAGAATTGAAATTTTGGATTTAAATGATCATATATTAAATGCTTTCGAAATATGGTTCGAAATAGTATTAAAAAGGAAATTAATAATTTAATAATGATATAATTTAATTAATATAAGAAGAATCAAATTAAGAGATTTGGCAAATCTATTTTATAAATAGGGGTATCGAAGGAATTATACTTTTGTTGAGCCTTTACCGTAAAATTTACAAATAATTGACAACTGTATGCCTAATGGACATAATTATAGGAAATTCTCTCTAAAATCATTTCTATTGAMAWAATGTAAAAATTAAAGGTTTCTTTTTTTTCAAAAATTCTTTAAAAAATTAATTAATTCGGAAATATAAATCTCTCCCTCTCTTCTCGGGCTTTTTTTTTCTAATATTACTCATTTTTAAACTTATTTCAAAAATAATATTTCCAAAATTGTTCCACCAAGACTATCCAATCTACTTCAGAGAGGTAGATCATCTATTCTTTTGATGTTATTAATTTTTAAACTTATTTAAAAAATAATACTTCCAAAATCGTTGTAGGAGTCTAGTTCACTCCAGACGTAGATCATCTCTTCTTTCAATTGATGAGTCGAAAGCTATGGTGAGGATTCACACAATTCTTCGTTCTCTTTTAGCATTGTCGTTGTCCATCATAGTAGCCGGTCTGCAAATCCGAACAAGTCAACACAATAATGTGATTGGAAATTTTGGAAGTATTATTTTTTGAATAAATTGAATTTTTATAATATTTTTAAAATAAGTCTAGAAAATAGTAATATTACAAAAATTCCTCAATACTTGCATATGGTTATTAAAATATTTGTGAAATTCAGCTTTTAAAAGAATATTAAACTAGTCATTTAACTACAAATTGAATTATAATATATTCACAATTTAAAATAATATATTTTTTTTTGTTTTTTTTTTCTTATTAAAAAGAACCATAAACAAAGGTGGAAGAGAAAGAGGATTAATTTGTGGTACAGAAGAAGCAAAAACAAATTCTCTATATCTCTTTCGAATTTCTTTGGAAAATTATTGCCTTAAAAAACTATTTAGTGTAAAAATGAAAGTATATTTTAGTACTAAGAAAACGTATATTTTGGCGTCTTTCCGATAAAGATACAATTTTTAAAAAGTGAAATAATTAAACAGAAAATCAAAATTTCCTTAAGGAATAGATCTTTTTACTTAATGAAATTTATTTCAGTATCTATTTAATTATGGAAGGTATAAAATAAAAATTTCCCTTTTTGTTTTGGATCTCTTTCTATATTTTTTTACAAATCTCTATGTAATATTTTGAATTTCAGTTTCTTCCTACACTACACTTTCCGACCAGCCGCCAGCCTCGCCGCCGTGTCCGCCGTCGCGCCGCCCTCTCTCGCTGACAATCCACTTGTCTCGCCGATTGTCTTCAGCCCCCATTTGTAAGTTTTTTCTTTTCCTTTTTCCTTCTCAAAAGAGTAATCTTAAGATAAGATATTAGAAAAATTGAAAAATAAAATGATTATCAAACACGAAAGATAAAAGTAACGATTTTTTTAGGCTTAGTTCGATAACGATTTTGTTTTTAGTTTTATGTTTTTAAAAATTAGACTTATTTTCTCACAATTTCTTTGGTATAGGTTTCACCTCTTTCTTTTAAACACATTTGAATTCTTAGTCAAATTTAAAAAAACAGAAAACCAAACTTTTTGGAAAACTACTTTTCTATTTTCTTTTGAAAATTGACTTAAATTTTGAAAACGTTTTAAAAATGTTTATAACAAGATAAGAATACATAGTGGAGGTGGTTGTAACATTAATTTTCAAAACAAAAGACTAAAAACAAAATGATTATCAGACGGGTCTAAATTCTAATTAATTTCTTGTTTCGTTTAGAAATTAATTTTAGAAAGTTTAAATATTTGGGTCCAGGGAGTTTTTGATTACAAAAAATTGAATTAAACTGAACCGGCTCGATTTCCTACCATAGGTTGGTTCAAAACGATAGGTTTTATAAAATAGTTTTTAGAAAAGGAAAAAGTGAACTAGAAATAATTAGGAATAGAATTTTGAAATTGTTTATATTAATTACTCGTATGATGTTCATGGATATTTAAGACATTTTAAAACAAAAAGAAATTTGTTTTAAAATACAAAAAAAAAAAGTTCAAATATTCGAATATTGATAAATAATTGCTTTTTATTTATCCTTTAATATTTTTCAATTGATGATGAAATATAGGTAATGATAAACATTTGGCAAAATTCCAAGTAGGAGAAGAGACAACTATGAAGCTGAGGCTGTGCATTATTTCAAGGCCAATTTCTTTCTCCATCTTATTGGTAATAAATATTCAACTAAATCCATATGATAAAATGTTCATAAAAAAAAAATAAATAAGAAATAACAGAACCTCCATTGTAGGCACTTGTGCTGCTCATTCTTCCAAGCTTGTTGATTCCATGTTGGTATGATATCATCAAACACATTCACTCTCATCGCCTTATCAACAACTACAATGCCACCTTTGAAATGCCAATGGAGATGGAGACATTGTCGACGTCGATTCGACCGATATATGCATCGAGCACAAATTTTGCTAGAACTCTCAACTCATCTAATGACACTCAAATCTCATTCCTTGGAGTGAAATCTAAGGTTAGTTTCTACTTTTAGAAGTTACAGTAACGTTCTTGGAACTTTGAATTATGATCCTATGCAGTCCCTGTCGTTATTAACTTAATGATGATGTGACATGCATATTAAACAAAATGTTGTCTTACTTAACAATCCGTAGTAGACAAATGACAAAAGTAAGTAGCTCGATAAAACAAAGTGACATATACAACATACCTTCTTTCGAAGCAATATATCAAATTCCTTTTTATAAATTGTGTGACTATTTTAATAAGCACTTCACTTCTTTTTGCCATTTGTCCGTTGTACCAAATCAGCTAATATTTTTTCAATCGGCCAGAATCCTGCATTATCATAACGATGTTAACTACAAGGACCACAGACAACCACAATTCAAAATTCAATAACATAATAGCAAATTCGCTACATATTAGCTATTGATGACTTTAATTTCTTTTGATTTTCAGATTGCTCCTATGCTATTTCAAGGATTTTCAATCATTCCATACCTGACTCAAATTTCCTATATGAGGATGGATGGTCTCTTCTTCTCATACTACATTGACAAAAACCAAACTTTTGCAGTTTATGCTAACTTTAACTTCACTGCCAATGTCCATCCTCATCCAAGAAGGGAATACAGTTGGTTCACTCAATTGGTAAACTCTAGCACAGGAGAATTATATGGGAATATGGCTAAGACCCTCCCCTTGGTTACTAGCAACGTGAGTTGGTTTCGAGATGCCTCGAATAGTAACCAGGGATGTGCCTCCATAGGGACAAAATGGAGCTCGGACCGTGAACGCTTGTTCCTCAACACGGTTAGAGTTAATGGGAGTAGTGGAGTTGTCTCCTTCGGATTTTCGATCAAAGCATTGATCGGCCTTTTCTCAATGGGCACCCAACGTCAAGGAAGGAGATTGTATCTGGCGACCAGGGAAGGAGAGATTCTTGTCCAAGGGTTTCAGAACATTAAGATGATTATTGCTGATGGTTTGGCTTCATTTCAATTGATGAAGCCAAATGGCGATCAAATTTCTCTAATCGGGAACATCTCGTGCCTGCATAGAAAAGAAGCTTTTGATGCAAATGCTCCTTTTTTTAATCTTTTGGGCACAAACTATATGATATATTGCTCTCCACTTGAGATAATGGGTGTGCAGTTGGTAAGTTATCATGCTCCAACAGAACATCTGAAAAATTGAAAATAACAGAGATGCAAGAGCTAAAAAGAAATGATTTATAATGTCCACTTACCTATGTTTTTATCTTCTTGTGGTATTTAGATGGTTTGAACTGAAAGATATCATATTTTTATTGATTATGTTAGGTTCAAACGCATTACACAAATGATTTTGTCTCCTACCTATGTTCTTATTTCAGGTCTATGCATTAGTATTGCCTCAAGAAGAGCTAGCCAGCATTGTCCACAGGAGTAGCAGATTGGCACTAATTCTCCTCATACTAATAATGACTACCACAGTTATCTCCATTTTTGGTTTTGTGTTCATAGTCATTAGAGCAGCAAAAAGAGAGATGCATTTATGTGCCAGACTCATACAACAAATGGAAGCAACTCAACAGGCAGAGAGAAAAAGTATGAACAAAAGCACTGCTTTTACGAGAGCGAGCCACGACATTCGCGCTTCTTTGGCAGGCATTACTGGTTTGATTGAGATATGTCACAATGAAGCTGCCCCGGGTTCAGAGTTAGACATAAACCTCAAACATATGGATAATTGTACAAAGGACCTACTGGGTAATTAACTTCCAAAACTTATACAGTATCTTCTCCTTGAGTGTCAAATGTATATAAAAAAAAATTGGTTATAATCCATTTCAGGCATATTGAACTCTATCCTGGATACAAGCAAGATTGAAGCAGGAAAAATACAGCTTGAGGAAGAAGAATTTCATTTGGGTCAACTTCTTGAGGATGTGGTAGATTTGTATCATCCAGTGGGTATGAAGAAAGGAATAGACATAGTGTTAGATCCTTGTGATGGCTCGGTTATCAAGTTTTCTCAAGTGAAGGGTGATAGGGGAAAGCTTAAACAAGTGTTGAGCAATTTATTGAGTAATGCTGTTAAATTCACTTATGAAGGGCATGTAACCGTTCGAGCGTGGGTCAGGAATTTACCTGAGACTCAGAATAAGATGGTCGCTTCTGATCAAAATGGTGAAATAATGAAGCACTTATCCTTCTTGTTATGCAAGAACACACAAATATTTCGAGACCAGCCAGCCACGGATAATGGAGTTAATCTTAATCCTGATCGTATGGAATTTACATTTGAGATCGATGACACAGGGAAAGGCATTCCCAAAGAGAAGCGGCAATTGGTTTTCGAGAACTACGTCCAAGTCAAAGAAACAGCTTTAGGACAAGGAGGAACTGGCTTGGGACTTGGCATTGTTCAATCTCTGGTATGAAACTTAACATCTGCTAATTTTCAACTAAAAGTTCATGTGAAGCTTTCCTCATTATATAGATAATAGAAAATTCAATTACATTTGTTTAAATTATTGAAGGTACGCTTGATGGGAGGAGATATAGCAATTTTAGACAAAGAGATTGGAGAAAAGGGAACATGCTTCAGATTCAGTGTTATTCTTACTGTCTCAGAGGGAAACATCAACTCCGGTGGTAACACGCGTCAATCATCCCCTACCTCGAGACTTACTTTTCAGGCTCCTAGTCCAAGTCTCCATTCACCCAGAGCAATCCGAACTACTAGTTCAAAACCTGAGACATCTCGTGTCATTCTCTTAATTCGAAATGATCAACGAAGAATGATATGCAAGAAATTCATGGAAAGTCTTGGTGTGAAAGTATTGGCAATGAAACAACGGGAGCAACTCCTTGACACTCTACAGAAGATATTGGGGAAACAAAGCCATTCAAGACACGACTCAAGAGGAAGGTCAGAAAATAGTTCACCAAATGACTTCCTGAGCAAATCAACATCTGGTGACTCCCGCAATGGGATGAATATGGATGTTTCTTTGGGTGCAATGAAAGACGAGACAAATTACTTGCTTTCTGTATTCAAAAAGACTAATCTCAGATGTGGAATTAGCTTCATCTTGATTGTAATTGATGCCAGTGCAGGACCATTTAGGGAAATATCAAATATGGTGGCTAATTTTAGAAGAAGACTTCAAGGTTCCTATTGCAAAGTTGTTTGGCTGTTGGAGAATCAAATGTTATGGATCAACCACAAGGGGCTAGAGACGAATGATGTTGTTATATCTAGACCTTTTCATGGTTCTCGTTTGTATGAAGTGATAAGACATCTTCCAGAGTTTGGAGGTACAATACAAAGCAGAGAAGGTAGTATATTATGCCAGGGTGAGAATGTTTCAAAAGATTCAAGTTCATCACTATTCCAAAATCATGGAAAGACCAAGGTGGGGAGTTCTCCAATTTTAGAAGGACAAATTGCAATGCCATTGAATCAAAATTATTCTCGTTCAGTCTCAAAGTCGAGAATTTCTTGGTTGGCAAAAAACCAAGAAACTAGAGAAGACAAATCTGAAAACTTGAGCGGCGAAAAACCTCTAACTGGGAAGAAAATCTTGGTTGCAGAGGACAATACAGTGTTACAAATGATAGTTACACTGACACTAAGCAATCTTGGTGCAACTATTGAGATATGTGAAAACGGAGAGGAAGCTTTGGAGCTTGTTTCCAATGGCTTGGGCAATCAACGGAAACATGCTGCTTCAAATACTCTTCCTTACGATTACATACTAATGGACTGTGAGGTAAGAAATTACGTACCATCTATTTTTTGGATAAGAATTACTACACCTACAGCCAACATCCAAAGGACTTATATTTACTCTTAGGCAACAAAGATAAAAGAGCAATAACAAACATTTAGGCAGTTAAAACTCTAACGATAATGATGTAATTATCTATTTCCTGTTTTCTATTTTCAACTTGAGACTGTATGAAATTTATTAATTTTTTACCTTCCTGCAATACTGTATGTTAATTTGAGAATTTGCATATGGTAGATGCCAATAATGGATGGATATGAAGCAACTAGACAGATAAGGAAGTTGGAGAGAAATTACAACACCCACATTCCAATCATTGCACTGACTGCCCATACAACAGGAGAAGCAAGAAGGACAATGGAGGCTGGAATGGATCTGCATTTAGGCAAACCACTGGTAGAAAAGGACCTCCTAGAAGCCATTACATGTATCCATAGTAAATAATGTTTTACTTTCTTCGTGCAGATTAAACTAAAATCTCAGCAATTTCATATGGTATAAGATTTTTTTGAAACTAATGAAGCAATGCCTATATTGTTTCATGTGTTGACATTTTGGAGAGAAAATCTAGTGGCTCTGTTATCTTGAGGTTTTGATAGGCCAAAATAGGCCTTTCCTTCCTTTCCTTTACAAACCCCTAACACTTTTGTTTGAACATGGAATACAAAGAAGAACAAGTACTTAAAATATAATAAAAACTTAAAACAGGACTTACAAGCTCAAATTCAGAGAATGCTATGTTCCCAGAAAATTAAGCTTTTTCATTCATGTCTCGCAGAAACAAAGCTTTGAGATTTATACAAAAATAGAGTTTCACAGAGAATAAGAATGTTTCAGTGTCTGGACAAGTATCAACGTTTTCTAGTGCTAGCAGAAATAGGCTATTTAGAAACTAACTTAATGGTGATGTTTTTGTTCTTGCCTTCATACCCATATGAGGAGCTTTAGCGAGGAGAAACAGCAGAGGTTCCACAGATCAATTAACCAGAGCTTTTTATCCAAGTCATTTTTGGTAGTTCTCTACAGAAGAAAAAAAAGGATGTTTTGACTTCATTGCAGATAAGGGAGAGAGAGGACCCAGCACTAAGATGAGCGAAGAACAAAAAAGGACATTAAAATTATATGCTGCAAATTACACTTTTAATCCGTGAAATTTGAGAAACAATGCACGTTTGTCAAAAATTTCACCTTAAATTTCCAATTTCAATAAATTTAAACCCAGATCACGAAATGTGTTACAATTAGTGCCCGGAACTTGTCAATTCTGATGTTTTTTAGCTCAACCATTTGAGAGATGAGAAATTCCCAGACGTTAACGAATTGATTTTGGAGATAAGACGCTCCATCAATTTCTCATCTATCACTATCACTAGGTTAACCAACTTTTTCAATATCTAATGAGTAATTTGACAAAAATTCTCAGAATGGACGCCCCATTCCAACTTCATGCTTTAATGCTATGAAAGTTGAAGCCCGAGGCGGAAATCAATTAAAAGTTGAAGTACATGGGAGCTTATGGTATGATTAATTAACAAAAAACGAATATCCGAAAGAAATTAGAGAGGAGAGAACACACTCCGATCGTTAATTTGAGTAATCAAGCGGCGGAGGGACGGCGGAGGTGGTCGGCACGCGGCGGCGAGCGTCTGAAGGAGGGGAAGGAGAAGAGAGAGAAAATGACATCTAGTGGAAAAAAAAACATAATAAAATATTTAAATTTATTAAATTTTGGTTTTTTTTACACTTGGTGTTTTTTTAGTTCAACCATTTTACAATTAAAAGAATAGCATTGAAGATTCCAATCTTCGCCGCTACATTTGTTGTACTAGTGAAAGAACTAATAATAATCCTTTTTAACTTTCAAAATGTTATCTTAAACATTATATTATTAAAATATTAATTATATTGATTACTRTTATTATTATTTGTTATCTAATATCGATTCAACTAATATTTAATACTCACGTCACTCAACCTATGATACTATAATTTTAGGCCTAAATCAAGACGCTAAAACATATATGTACTATTAAATAATTGATGGAAAAATAATTAAAAGAAAAAGAATCCAAATATTTAACAAAGTTTTAAGTATTAAAAAATATTCATCTAAACTTTATAAAATTAATATAATTAATATAGTGTAATACTAAGAAAAGAAAAGACTAATATCATTTAACAATCACATCGAGTTCAACTTATGGTCAACTTTAATACAAGTAACGCCTAAAATAAGAAATAAAAAAAATATATAATTTTGGCAAAAAGAAAAAGATCTGTGTCTCATCCGATATCTCCCTCCATCAACATATTCCTCCTTCCAATGAGTTTATCGAGGCAATAACAAAGGAAAGATATCTTCTTTGGAAGCAGGCAAAAATAATAGAAGATAAGGGTTTGGAATCAGCCAAAAGACAAGTCCATCTTTGAATTCCACATTCTTTTCCTTTCCACAACTTTGAAATTATTTGCACACTTCTCAAGAAAGAAAAGAACCAACAAAATCTAACGCATGGTTTAGTCAACTTATCTCTGATTCATGGAAAAGTTGACAGTTAATTATTTGAAAGAGAAAAAGTTTACATTAATTGTTAAATATTTGATAATAATAAGGATAAGATTAGTCTTCACAGATACAAAGAGTTAAGTATTTTCCTTAAAACTATAAGGCAAACATCCCGTGGTAATAAAAGACCAAGGGATTATAAAGTTTTTTCTTTTTTATTTTATTGAAACGATTTCTATAGATGCAGAAATAAAACACAATAACAGATAGATAAATATTGGCTTGACATTATATCATGATGATGGTGATACTGAGGAATCATGCAACAAGTTCAAGAAAGTTGTTCCTCCATGGCAAGTTCTTCAATCATAGGACTAAAAGCCTTGAACCCAGAGTACTTCTCAGTCAACACAATAGGAGTATTGTTCAAAATACCCTGCTTCTCGTCATCAGTATCATCATCRTCGTTTTGATCATCTTCGTCTTCGTTACTGGAGCTTCCTCCAGTAGTTGGGACGAGATCAAACAGCTTTCTAGCARTAACAACAGAGTTTATAACTTCATCAGTAGGATGAAACACAGACAGAACCTCGAATCCAGAAGCTTCAACCTCACAAACGTCAACAACAGGGTACAAAAAAGCCCTAGCGCCATGCGCACTCCTCAGCATCAAATAAGCCCCGGGCGCCATATGCTTCCCCAAATGCCTCAAAACCTTCCCCTTCTCCTCCTCCTCCACTCCCACTAACGCCGCCAAAAACACCACCTCGTACTCCCCAAGTCCTGTT